AGCAGGGAGCCCGATGCGGGACTCGATCCCAGGACCCTGGGATCATGACCTGAGCCGAAGGCAGACGCTTAACCAACTGAGCCACCCGGGTGCCCCATAAATTTTTGCTTTCTTTTGACACACAGCAACCTACATAGCTCTTAATCTTGATATTTTTCTGTACATTCATTTAGATTTTCAACAGTACAGTATCTGTGGATAATGACAATTTGGTTTCTTAACCCTTTTATCTTTTTAAAAAAATCTTTTCTTTGCCTCACTGCATTGGCTTGGACGGAAAACCAATTTTGTATCTTTGTTTTAAATAGAAGGCTTCGACTGTTTCACCAAATACAGTGTTTGTGTTAGGTTTTTCACAGGTACTTTTTATCGGATGAATATTTCTATATATATCTAGTTTCAGTTTTTCTGTTGAATTTTAGCAGCGTTTTTTCCTGTTATGTATGAAATATCGTATGTTTTTTTATATGATTTTTGTTCTTTAGTATTAATATGGTATACAAATCAATTGACTTTTTATAACCTAAAACCAAACTTAACTTTCAGTTTGCTGATGTTCTGGTTAGGATTTTTGCATTTGTTTCATAAGCAAGATTGATCTGTAATATTGTTAGGTTTCGGTATTACAGTTATGTTAGCCTTATAAAATGATTTGCAAAGTGCTCCCTCCTTTTCTGTTGTCTTAATTATTTGATGTAAGATTATTTATTCCCTGATTGTTTGCTGGAACTCACTGGTAAAACCATCAGGGTCTGGGTTATTTTTTTTTTTTTTAAGATTTTATTTATTTATTTATTTGAGAGAGCACGAGTGAGAGAGAGCACAAGCTGGCAGGGAGAGGCAGAGGGAGAGGGACAAGCAGAGTCCCCACTGAGAGGGAGCCCAACGTGGGGCTAGATTCCGGGACCCGGGGATGATGACCCAAGCTGAAGGCAGACAGCCACCCCGGGCCCTTGGGGTATTCTTAATGGAAGATTTTAACTATTGATTGCATTGGCTTTCCATTTCCTCTCTTTTTGGTGAGTTACATTTTTTCCTAAGAATTTGTCTATTCTATGTACACTTTGGGGGATTATATTTATTTCACTTAATTTCAGGAAGTAATGAAAGTGTCACAGCTGAAACAAGCCCATTTGGACCCTAATCATTCATATTAACCTTGCAGAAACCAAAGCTTGATCATAGATACTACCAGAAAAATATCAATATCTGGCACTGTGCTAAATGCCTTTTTTTCAAATAGTGTTAATGAAGTATAACTGACATAATAAATTATACATACTTAAGTATACAATTTGGTAGGTTTCAATGTAGTATACATTTAAAAATTCATTGGCATAATGTTAATGATATGTCCCTCTGAATACCATTTTAATTCTCCCTAGCAAGTTTCTTTTCTATTTTGTTAATTTCTGGTCTTTATTGTTAATTTCCGCTTTGGGGTTTATTCTGCTGTTTTTATAGCCTTTAAGGTGGATAGAAAACTCATTAATTTTCTTACTTTCATTTTTAATGTAAATATTAAAGACTATAGATGTCCTTCTAAATACTACTTTATTGGATATATACTTTATTTCTTTTGAAAAATTTTTGTTTTGGAAATTTCAAACATATCAAAGTAGATTTTGATGACTCCCTCCAATATTACCTGTCTGGCTGTATTAATCAACACTTACGGCCATTCTTGTTTTATTTATACCTCCCATTTTCCATCCCTCCTTTACCTCTACCCTCCACAGAATTATTTTGCAGCAAATCACAGATCTCATATCATTTCTTCTAGAAATATTTCATTTTATTACCCTAAAAAAATGCAAGCTTTATTTTTTTTAAAGATTTTATTTATTTGAGAGAGACAGGGAGAGTACAAGCAGGGGGAGGGGCAGAGGGAGAGGGACTGGCAGACTCCCCCGCTAAGCTGAGAGCCCAAGCTTGATCCCAGGACCCTGAGGTCATGACCTGACCCGAAGTCAGTTGCTTAACCACCTGAGCCACCCGGGTGCCCCAAAATGCAAGCTTTAGAAACACTCATACCATCATCACCCTAAAAATGTAATAATTCCTTAGTATCATCTAGTGCCTAGTCATTATTCAAATTTCCATTTCTCATAATTTTTTCTGTATGTTGAAATGCACAAACCTTAGCTATACAGATAAATGGCTATACCTGTGTAACCCACACTTTTATGATAACGCTTCTTTCCCTCACGTCCCTTTCCAGTTAATCTTTCCATCCCATTTCCCCAATTACCACTGCTCTGATTTTTTTCACCTTAGTTTTTGTCCTAAAGTTTCATACAAATGGAATCATGTAGTATGTACACTCTCTTATCTGACTTCTTTTACTCACCATGTTAGTGAGATTCATCCATGTTATTGGGTATATCAGTAGTTCTTTTTTATTTTGTAGTGTTCTACTGGAGATACACCACAATTTATCCATTCTCTTTTATGGACAGTGGATTGTTTCCAGTTTTGGGTTATTGTGAATAAAGCTGCTATGAACATTTTTGTACTTGTCTGTTTGTGGGGAAATGTTTTCATTTCTCTTGGAAATGAAAACCTGGGAAGGGAATCACTAGGCAAAATGGTAGGTGCATATTTAATTTCATAAGAGACTGCGGAAACCTTTTCCCACAGTGGTTATACCATTTTGTACTCCCACCAATAATCTGTGAGAGTTCTGGTTGCTCCACGTCTTTGTCTGCATTTGGTGTTGTCCTTTTAATTTTAGCCATTCTAGCAGGTGTGTATTGGTTCTCATTGTGGTTTTAATTTGCATTTCCTTGATCACTGAAGATGTTGAGAACCTTTTCATAAGATTATTGATCATTTGTTTATCTTCCTTTGTGAAGTGTCAGCTCTTTTGCCCATACAGTTACTTAGTGCATTTTATCATTTAGATACAGTTCACTTTTTAGCACATACCTAATTTTTTTTAGAGTAAGTAAAAAATGCATTTGGGCGGACACCCGGGTGGCTCAGTTGGTGAAGCGTCTGCCTTCAGCTCAGGTCATGATCCTGGGATCAAGCCCCACATTGGGCTCTCTGCTCAGTGGAGCCTGCTTCTTCCTTTCCCTCTGCCTGCCGCTCCACCCTGCTTGTGCTCTCTCTCTCTCTGCCAAATAAATAAATAAAATCTTCTAAAAAATGCATTTGGATCACATTTAGTCCAAAAACAAGATGAATCTGAATTTATGAGTCTCTCTCTCTTTGTATAAGGCATTTTAGGTTCCAGTTTGGTATGTAACAAATGGCTCTGACCTATTATTACTCTTTTGCCTTGAAACCCACAGCTGTTCTTTTGTGCCTTTCTAGTATTTTCACTGTTGAGACTTTCATCTTTTTTTAAGAAAATGCTTTGGAGACAAAGGGGGACTGAAACCCTTTTTACCTAATCCCAACTGCTTAGATTATCTCTTGATTTTCTTCTTTCCAGAACTGTATTCTTGTGTCTATCCTTTATCACCATCCATTCAGTATATCCAAATTTTGAGATCCTTAGAGATCTATAGCCTCCCATGTAGGAGAATGAAATTTCATCAGAAGGAAATCTCTTGAGAATTTAAGTTTACTTTTTTATGATATTTTAGCTATAGCAGTCAACTTGAGCCAAAAGGCATTCTACCAAAGTAAGCAACTACTGTGTATGTAGTGAGTGTTCCAGTGTAACAAAAATGTTTTCCTTTTTTTATAGTAACGTCTAATAATTCAGATTCTGGCCATGAAGTTCAAGAGGATTCTTCAAAGGAAAATGTATCATCAAGTGCTGCCTGTGCTGACCACAACCCAACACCTACTCACGATGGCAAATCACATGAACTGTCTAATCTTCGATTGGAGAATCAACTGTTGAGGAATGAAGTTCAGTCTTTAAATCAAGAAATGGCCTCATTACTTCAAAGATCCAAGGAAACTCAAGAAGGTAGAGTCTTATTTAAGTTGTGGAGGATTAGGAATTTAACATTTCAAAAATAAACTGAAAACTTGAGGACATCGGAACTTAACAAAACACAAGACTTACAAAATCGTGTTTTCATAGAAATACAGGGCCCAGATTTAGAAATAGAACCAGTCATCCTCCTACCAGTCTGAAACAGAACATTGCCTTTGTTTGGTCATTCCCTAGGAGTCATGAAATTTAAGAACTTAGTAATTTAAGAAATTTAAGAACCTTAGTAATCATCTGGTTCATTTGCTCTCTTCTGAACCTTCAGGGGGAACTGTTCATGAACCAAAGGTGGGATTAAACAAAGGAGTGGATACCAGTAGACAAGGTCACAGTATTGTACTGCTCCAGGAGATGTAAAGTGACCACGGAATTCAGTTTGAATAATACACTCTCGAAATATGCAGTGAAGTGTCCCTAGAGTAGAAAACTCTTAGATTCCTCAGAAATGGGTAATTTAAAAGTAAATAATCTCATGAATGAGGTGATGGAGGAATATGTTAGTCTTAATGTAAGTGTGGGCTGAGGGAAAACAAAAGGGAGAAGAGAAGTCTCTGCCTTGGTTCCTGGCAGTGATTAGAAAGGAGGGCGGGGACAGTGGGAAAAGTTTTGCCAAGATATGGATGGAGGCCCAGAAGAGTGAAAGAGGAAGAAAGTTTAGGGCTTGTTGGACTGACTTCAGAAAAAGCTTTGCTTTACCAGACTAATAAAGACCTAGAAATAGAGCTTTTCCTGAGACCCTGTAGCGTTTGCTTCAATTTAAAAAAAAAAAAAAAATTTTTTTTTTTTTGGCCTGCAAACTGCTGTTATAGATATGTGAGGGTGTGGAAATCTGCACTGCATTGCTCTTTCTGCACCAATGTCCTAGGTTTAAAAAATAAAATCTTTTTGCTACAGTAATCAAGAGAAACAGATTCTTTCCTGTGTTTATCTATAGGTTTTGATTTTGTTTGTTTTGGTCTTATACCAGGGTGTACACCATCTACCCTTGATTTGTATTTGCATTCTTCCTGTCTCTAGCAGAGCTCAACAAATCCACTGACTTCTCTAGTGTTCTGAACTCTGCTGTATACTGGAGTGGGCTCCCAAATGCTTTATGATAGGTCTCAAAAAATTTTTTTGGGGCGCCTGGGTGGCTCAGATGGTTAAGCGTCTGCCTTCGGCTCGGGTCATGGTCCCGGGGTCCTGGGATCGAGTCCCGCATCGGGCTCTCTGCTCCTTGGGAGCCTGCTTCTCCCTCTGCCTCTCTCTCTCTGTCTCTCATGAATAAAGAAATAAAATCTTAAAAAAAAAAAAAAAATTTTTTTTTGTAGGGAGCAGCTAGCATCGTGCCCTTTCCAACCTATTAACTGTGATGTAGATGTGAATGTTGGCCTTGAGATATGGGTGTCCCATTTGAAGCAAATGATTTGAAGATATTTGTAAGCTCTTAACTTTGGCAGAAATTACTACAGGGATACAGAGGAGAGTCTCTGTGTGCTCTGAGAAAAGTGTGTCTGCTTGAAGAGAGAAATCTTTTTTTTTTTTTTTTTTAAGAATTAACCAAAGCAAGAGCAAGAGTTGAAAAGTGGAATGTCGACCATTCAAAGAGTGATCGAATAACCCGAGAGCTGCGAGCCCAAGTGGATGACCTGACTGCAGCGGTGGATGCCAAGGACTCGCAGCTGGCTGTGCTGAAAGTGAGGCTGCAGGAGGCCGACCAGCTCCTGACCACACGCACCGAAGCCCTGGAAGCCTTGCAGACTGAGAAATCACGGTAGCTCATCCTAGTGATCATGAGAAAGGGAACTAGAAAGATTCTTTCCCATGCAAGTAATGATAAATACTGTGGTGGTGTATACTACCTTATGAAAACTTAGCTTTTGAAATTTAGAGGGGGCAAATTTATCTTTCGGTACTGTTGTAAATGTGTGCGATTAAAAGTTGATTTATTATTTGAACCTTGAGATGCATTGTTAGCAAATTCTGAATTTAAAAATATTTGAAGAATATAGTATCCTTAATTTTTTGACATATAATGATGTGTGTGCTTATATTTGGATACCTAAAAATATAGGTTACATTCCATTAAAAGGCAAAAAGATTTCTTTAAGGATATTTTAGTCAAACCATCTTTTTTTTTTTTTTAATTTTAGAGAGAGAGGGGTGGGGGAAGGGGCAGAGGGAGAGAGAGAATCTCAAGCAGACTCTGTGCTGAACATGGAGCCCAACAGGGGGCTTGATATCAGGACCCCGAGATCACGACCTGAGCCGAAACCAGGAGTCAGATGCCTAACCGACCGCACCACCTAGGCACCCCAGTCAAATCATCTATTTTGTGCTGTCAAGCCGATGCTTTAAAAATTATTCCACCTTGTACACTGTGGAAATAAGTCTTTTCAAGTGATGTCTTTTCTTTTAGAATAATGCAGGATCACAGCGAAGGTAGCAGCCTGCAGAACCAAGCTCTGCAAACTCTTCAGGAGAGACTGCATGAGGCGGACACCGCCCGGAAGAGAGAGCAGGAGAGCTGTAAACAAATGCAGGTTAGAAAGGAAGAATGCCTTTATGCTGTTTGATAACATTTACTCTTTAAGAAAATTCTGCAGTGCATTTCAGAAAAATCTGTTTCTGTCACAGAAACCAAGTATTTGAAAATTTAGCTTGATTCTTGCTGAATTTACTTAATCTTATGTATTGGGATACAATTAAAATAAATGTCAACATCCTCTATGATCAACAAGGCATTGACCAGAAATGTGGGGGCGTTTCTTCTGAGATGGTATTTGAAGGGACGATGCACAGGTTGGACAATGGTCCTAGAGAGGAGGGGTGTTATACTTATAAAAGGGGAGCAGCCCCTCAGCACCCCTTAAAAAAAGGAATACAATTAAAATAGAATATTCAGTAGAGATAGATATTTCTTTATTTAATTTTGTTTTTCAACCAACATTACCATTATTTGATGAAAAGCTGATTTGGGTCCTCTTCTTAAAATTAGATGGTGCTGAGAAACTTTCGAATAAAACACTGCCAAATGAGGGAAAAAATTGATGTGGGGCATCTTGTTTATTTTTTTATTTAAGCTTTTTCTGATTCTAGTTCAATCTGATTGATTTATTTCCAGAGGAAATTGTACGTAAAATGTAGAGTTTTACACTTAAATGAATTTTTTTGCATCTAGTTCAGTGATTCTCAGCCCTTGTCTATACATTAGAATCACTTGTGTAGCTTTTAATATTTTCTGATGCCAGGTCTCTACTCCCAGGGAGTCGGATCCCATGGTGTGAGGTAGGGCATAAGCAGTGGTGTTTGAGTTTTATAAGATTTACATGTATCTATTAGCCAGTGAGGTTGAAAACCACTGGTTCAGACTATCTTTTCAACAGGTGAAAATAGTTGAGCCCTGAAAGTAACTATCAGTTAATGTGGACTTTTTGAAAATCTTACGAATGTATTTTATTTAACACAGTATATCCAAAGTACTGTCATTTTGGGGCACCTGAGTGGCTCAGTCACTTAAGCATCTGACTCGATCTCAGCTTACGTCTTGATCTTAGGGTTATGAGTTCAAGCCCCGCATTGGGCTCCTAAAAACAACAACAAAATCAAAGTACTATCATTTCAACATATAGTTAATAATAAAAATCATTAATGAGATATTTTACATTCTTTTTTGCAAACTGATATTTTAAAATATATTTTATACTTAATTCAGTCATAAATTTGCTTATGTAATACTTGATCTATATTTAGATTTCATAAAATTTAGAGGTAAAAAAATAATTCACATGCCCAGTTGTTCTAAACATACTCAGAAGTTTTCTACTGACAGTTCCTCAAAAAGTTAGGTGTAGAGTTACCATATGGCCTAGCAGCTCTGTCCTAGGTGTATACCCAAGGGAATTGAAAATATTTGTCCACACAGAAAATTGTGCACAAATGTTCATAGCAGCATTATTCACAATAGCCCCAAGCTGGAACTAATACAAATATCCATCAGTTGCTGAATGGATAAACAAAGTGTGGTATATGCCTACAAGGAGATAGCATTCAGCCATAAAAAGGAATGAAGTACTGATTCGTGCTACAACATGGATGAACCTGTAAGACATTATGCTAAGTGAAAGAAGGCAGACACTAAAGGCCACATACTATATGATGTCACTTACATGAAATGTCCAGAATAGTTAGATCTATAGAGAAAGTAGATTAATCATTGCCAGGGGCTAGGAGGAAGGGAGAAGTGGGTAGAGGATCTCCCTTTGGGCTGAAAATGTACCTGATATTCGGTAGTGGTAATGGTTGTACAGCTAACTCTGTGAATACACTGAAAACCACTGAATTGTACACTGTAAAAGGGTGAATTCTATAGTATGTGAATTATATCCCAATGAATCTATTAATTGAATTAAGTGGGTTTTTTTGAAAGATTTTATTTATTTATTTGACAGAGAGAGACACAGCGAGAGAGGGAACAGAAGCAGGGGGAGTGGGAGAGGGAGAAGCAGGCTGCCCACTAAGCAGGGAGCCCGACGTGGGGCTGGATCCCAGGACCCTGGGATCATGACCTGAACCGAAGGCAGACGCTTAATGACTGCCATCCAGGCACCCCTGAATTAAGTATTTTTATGTTTAATTAAAGCTAATTAACAGAAAAATTAGCTAAAGTCAGTAAACAGAAAAATTCAATTCTAGTTGCATTAGGCACATTTCACATGCTTGGTAGACATTAGCATAGTCCTCTTGCTCTTTTTATTCAAAGCAGGAGTTAATATTGGGTCAAAGGTTTGTGGCTTTAGTTATTGGTGTGTGAACTTTTGCGTTTGGACTTTTGCCTCACCTTCTGAGTGTTCTGGTGATGGAACTTTTGAGAATAAAGGCAAAATATAAATAATTCTCAGAACTAGTTAGGCTAGTAAGTGATAGGCATGTGTTTTTCTAGAGTGTGCTTTGGAAGTTTCTTAAGCTAAAAAATTATATTGAATAGTTCATTAGAAAATTTGAAATAAAGGGAAAATGTTAGTCATGCTATTAAAAAAGATGTAGCTGTTTACTTATCTCTGTGGTTTGCCTTTTTTTTTTTTAAGATTTATTTTATTTATTTGAGAGAGACTTAAGCAGACTCCGTGCTGAGCACAGAGCCTGACATGCGGCTTGAGCTCCTGACCCTGAGATTGTGACCTGAGCTGAAACCGAGAGTCAGACACTTAACCGACTGAGCCACCCAGGTGCCCCTTTATTTGCTTTCTGATAGACTTTCTGTTTTATTCATTAATCAGCTAGTATCAGGCTGACCAGATTCACCTTGGAAATTTCTTAAACAGATTTCCATTTCCAAGCATAGTCTTGGAAATTCCAATTCAGTAAGCCTGGGGACAGCTTTGGGTGGCTGTATTTGTTTAAAACTCCTTAATTGGGGCACCTGGGTGGCTCAGTTGGTTAAGCGTCTGCCTTCGGCTCAGGTCATGATCTCAGGGTCCTCGGACTGAGCCCTGCATCAGGCTCTCTGCTCAGCAAGGAGTCTGCTGCTCCCTCTCACTCTCCCTCTGTGCTCTCTTCCTCTCAAAATAAATAAAATCCTTAAAAAAAAATAAAAAATAAACTCTTAATTGATTCTGATACATTGCCATATTTGGGAGCCAACAACCTTAGATTCCCTATTCTTCAGTTCCTAACAAATGAAGTGTTTGGTTTGTTTTGGTTTGGTTTTTAACCTCCCTGTTATGTTGTTGGGCTGAGCTAAAAAAAAAAAAAAAATCCCATAAGACATCTGATTGGATGGTTGTAAAATATATTTCAGAGGAAATGATGTAAAGATGATATAAAAATTTGTCACAGAGTGAGTTTGCTGCACGCCTTAATAAAATGGAAGAGGAACGTCAGAATTTGGCAGAAGCAGTCACTCTGGCGGAAAGAAAATATGCGGAGGAGAAGAAGAGAGTTGATGAGCTACAGCAGCAAGTTAAAGTGTACAAGTCCAACTTGGAGTCCTCTAAGCAGGAATTAATTGACTACAAGCAAAAAGCTACTAGAATACTCCAAGTAAGCATGAAATGTCTTTTGGATGTTAAGATTTGCCAGGTGGGAGACACTTTTCGACTCCATATAGATCTGCGAGAGGATTTGTTCGTGTTTGGCTGGGTTGGCTCGCTTCAGGTGCCTTCCTGCACGTAGAGATATTACAAAAGTCCGAAATGTCCCTTGTTCCTGCCGTTTTTCTTTCTTTTTATTTAAAATTCATTCTGCCACAGCCTAGCTCAGGTCTTCAGCTGTCACCTTAAGCATGGCACTGTCGACGTTTGTCATTAAGCAGCCACTTTATTCTTCCTGGCTGGTCCCCCGTTGAGTTTTTCAGAACAGCTGGTCTCGGCCTCAGCCAGCTTCCCCCGTGTCATCTCATGTAGTCTTGGGCTTCTCTGTCCTTTGCCTCCTGAGGGAAAGGTATCCTTTCATCTTTCCCTAGGAGGGTTCCTCTTCGCTGTATGTAAGCTCTTCCTCCTGAGTCTGAGTCTGTCCTCTCTCTGTTTCTTCCACTCTGCCTCCTGTTTCTGGCTCAGCCTACTCAAGAGCATATGGTTGCTGGGTGGAAGATCAAAAACTAGATCTTGGAACTCCTGCTTAGGGAAAAAACAATCCTTTGTCTTTTTTGACCACTTGGATCCATTTCCCTGTTCTTTCTTTCAATATCAGACTTAATAGAATTCTTGTAAATATGCCATCTTTATTTTAGAGCTGTTAACTCTAACTCCTTCGTATCATTTCTGTCCCTGATACATTTCTGAAATTGTCTTCCCAGACATCTTTAATGACCTGAATATGTATTTTCTTCCTTTTCTTAATATCCATCCACTTTGATGTGGATAGAGCATTGGATACCATTAGCCCTTCTACCTTCTTAAACTCCTGCCTCCGGTGCTACTCGAGCTGCCCTCTCTCTCCGTCTTCTTTCACTGCTCCAGAGTCTCCAGAGACGAAGAGTTCTCTCAAATTCAGTCCCAAGACTTCTCTCACTCCTTACCTCGCGTTATCCTATACTCACTCTGTTTCTGTCTGTCACCTCGATGTGACTCCAGCGTGTCTCCCAGCCTAACTTCCTGACCCCGGTTTCTGAGTGCCTGCCAGGCTTCTCTGTGTGGGATTCCCCATCGCTCACACCAGCTTCTCCTTCATTCTCTAATTTTGGTAAATATTATACCTCCTTCCCAGGCAGTAGAGCTTGAACCACGATGACGTTTTGACTCCACCTTTTTCCTTTATCTCCTGCCTCCCGTTGCGTGTGAGCACTATTTTGATTCTACTTTCATGAGACAGCATACCCATCTCCTCCAAACTGTTCTGATTACTTTTGCTGTGTCACTCTAATTTATTATTGAGCACCTAACTATTCTAATGAGGCATTATGATAGATGCTGGGGGGGTGTTTCCTTTCTGAAAAGAGCGTTCAGTTAGCAGAAAGACACTGAGGTAATCGACGTGATGAAGTTATTGATGCAGTAAGCCCTTAAAATCTGCCAGGGAATGTCAGGAATGACTGGAGATGCTGTATAAAGAGGAACTTGAAGGATGAGTAGGAGGGCTTGTGGTAGGGAAGAGATTTCAGATAGAACAGCTGTGCCAGAGCAAAGGGGGTCTGCGGGAGCACAGCATCTTTAGTGGATGGCAGCTGGTTCCCTGCCGCTGGAGCACGAAGGGTTAGGGACTAAAAGCGGGGAGAGAAAACTCAATGACAGGCAGAAGCCAGACCATGGAGGGCCTCGCATCCTGTGCAGAGGAGTTTTGATTTTTATCTCCTAGTTAGTGGTAGGGGTGAGAGGTGAGAGACTGAGCAGCGTGAGGACTTGCGGTGAAGAGGAGAGTTGGCACTGGGTCAGGCCCTTAGGCGGTGCTCAGTAAATTGCTGCGGACGTTGATGGGTGAGGATAGGCTGGTGAGAGGGTAAAGAGGAGAGTATCGGAATTAATGGTGTGAAGTAATGAGGACCTGGTCTAATTTGTGGCAGTGAGGGTGACAGATGGGACAGCTAAGAGACATGTAGGAGGTGGGATGTGTGACACTTGGGGTTTCAACTGGAGGAAGGGGAACTGCAGGCAGACCTTAGGAGGATTCCGGTTTTCTGGGTTCAGATGTGAGTGATATGCCCTGGGTAATGCAGCAGAGACACAGGAAAGACATCCGGCCAGCACTGATGGACACTAGGACAAGTGACAGAGAGTTTGCAGAATTTGACTGCACCGAGTGACACCAAGGTGAAAGTTTTAGGAAGGCAATCAGAAGTAGAGGCCTGAAGCTCAGCCCATGGGTCTGGGCATTAGCCATGTGGGAGCAGAGAGAGAGAATTATGTGTGTTACAGAAAATATGAAACCTGCAGAGAAGTTTAACAAAGTCACCCATAATCCTACCACATGAGAAGAAAAACTATTTTTGATGGAGGAGAGTGCCTCTCAGATATTCATATTGAAGGTGAAAGAGCTGATAGTCCTTACTGCTGGCCTAGAATTATATAGCACTTCTTAAACGGGTCTTCCCACATCGAATCTCTTCTCCCAACTCATCCTTTCCATTGGGGGTCACAAACTTTTTCTGTAAAGGGCCAAATAGTACATATGGTAGGCTTTGCAGGTTCTATGTGGTCTCCATCGCATACTCTTTGTCTTTATTTTTTTTATCATCTAAACATGTAAAAATCATGCTTAGCTTGTGGGCTATACACAAATAGGCCACAGGCCAGATCTGGCCCATCAGCCATAGTTGGTGAACATCTACTTTATACCACTGCCACATTAACCCTCCTTAAATGCATCCGTGCTCATATCACTTCCCTGTCTACTTTTTTAGTTGTTTGTTTTCGCCCACCAGGATAAAAGTCAAACATTTTAGCCTGGCATCTGAAGCCCCCCCCCACAGATTGGTCCTAACATACTGTCCGAGCGCATCTCAACAATACTTTCTTACACGCCCTAATGCTTTTGCATTTTTATGCTTTGTCCTGTTTTCTCCACACCTGTTAAAATCCTAGCCATTTTTCAGGATCAGCATAACTGCTGCTTTCAAGTAAAGCCTTCTCTTCCCCAGTAAGTGGCTTCTCTTTGGAACTCTGCAAGTAATCTTAGCAGATGCCTCTCTCAACTTGTTTATTGCCTTCTTGTAACTTCCCTCCAGTTTGTAAGGCGGAGGGTACTATCTCAAATGAGAGACCTCTTCATTGCATGGGACTCTGAGCATAATGCCAAACCCATTGTAGGTGCTCTGTAAATATTTGCTGAGTAGCATATGATGGAGATAAAAAGCATGAGAAAGGATGAGAAGAAAATACGAGGGAAATCTTGTTAATAACAAGTTTTCAACAGTAACACAGTCTTGGATACTAAAATCCAAGGCTGGTGTACAGCAAGGCCCTGCTGCGTTCTTATCCCAATGTGGACTTTCTTTGATGGAGAACGTAATTGGACCATTTCCGTAGTGGCTTAGTTGGTGTAAGATTGATGTTATTCAGTATACAAGCTAATCTCTGTTTTGCTTAAAGATATTTCTTTTTTTATAATAGTCTAAAGAAAAATTGATTAACAGCTTAAAGGAAGGATCTGGTTTTGAAGGCCTCGATAGCAGTACTGCTAACAGCATGGAGCTGGAAGAACTTCGGCACGAAAAGGAGATGCAAAAGGAGGAAATACAGAAGCTCCTGGGCCAGATACATCAGCTGAGATCCGAATTACAGGTAAGATTCGGTACGGCTGCGCTGCACAACCAACCACTGACCCCGGCGATTGGCAGGTGAGCGGCGGTGGAGTCTGTATTTTGGGAGAAGGGTGTTAGTGGTCACCATGCAGCAGTGCGTCTAAGGCGATCGGTTTCCTGTCTGTCGATGGACTGTGAAGTCCTGGCAATAACAAGCATGTAGCTAACTAGATGCACTAGTTAAATTCTTACCCTGTGCCTGCCATGTGCCAGGCATCTTGTAGGCTTGGAGTTACAGCAAGGAACCAGACAGAATCTTCATATTTATGGATCTTATAACAATCCAGTGGTTAAAACACAAATGAGATTTGGGCTTGTCTATAAAACTGGGATGTTTTCTGATACTGGAATGGACACAGGGACAGTCCCTTAATTATAGTTTCACGAATAATCTTATGATTTATAGTTTATGTGTAATTGCAGTTTTTAATCCAAAAGTAAGTTGGACCTTTTGTTTAAATTAAACATGGAGTCTTTGACGTAAATATCATAGGAGGAGTCTCTGAGAACGAGAGAAGGTAAAATGCAGGCTGACAACCCTTCTTTAAAAGAAAAAAAAAAAAAACGTGTTAACTCAGCAAATTATTGGTTCGTAAGATGTGCATGACCTATAAAGGAAAGTACGGAAGTTGTAAGGTAGGGTTTCTTGTCTGGAGTATGGGCTTGAATATCAGATATGGAGAGAAGTCCCGTCTTTGGCACTTAGTAGATGTGTTACCTGCACGAGATACTTCATCTCACTGAGCCTTAGTTTTCTCATCTGTAAAGTGGAGATAAACACAGGTTTTCTTGAGGATAAGGGATATGCATCGAAGGGCCAAGCATTGTTCCTAACATGCATTAGGCCCTCGACAAATAGTAGCTAATGTTACTTCTGGATTTCTTTCTTACTGGTAAAGTAGAAGAGCTGGTCCTCAAGGCTGTCATCCTCATAGTCTGTATGGTTGGATTTTTTTTTTTCCTATAATTAATTTTGAATGCCAAAGAATTCAGTCCTGTGAACTTAGAAACTGAATAGATGCTAATCCTGTTCATACCTTGTCTTATTCATCTGTGTATTTGGGGTGAGATTATGAAAAATATGACTTGTTTTATTTAATTTCCTTACCCCAGCATCGTTGATGACATTGACCATTTTTCAAGAAGCTTATAAAATCTACAGTAAGGATTATAGTATATCTAGCAAAATGGAAGAATTGTTAATGACTATAATAGCTAAGCACTTAACTTGCCAGGCATTGCACTAACCTCTCAGAATACAGTCTTCCATTTATTCCCTACTGTAATCCTCTAAGGGAGATGGTATGTTCTCATTTTACAGTTTGAAGAAATTCAGTCACAGAGAAGGAAAGTAGTTTCCTATAACTATAGTGAAGTAGCAGTCAGGATTAGAACCTTAGTCTGTCTGATTTCCAGAACATGTGTTTTGTTTTTGTTTGTTTTTTTTCCAGAACATGTGTTCTTAACCACTGCTCATACTGTCTGCCTCTCAAGAATTTGTCTAATTAAGTCAAATTGATGACAGAGATTAGTTTACCTACTGCTAACCCCAAAAACTCAAGGATAGGGGAAAATCATTCTACTTATTGCTGCTTTCCTCTAAATCCACAAAGTTGTGACTATATAGACTATCACACTGGTATTATTATCTGGAGTATCATTAATTTTTAGTTCTTTCAAACCGTATATGAAATGCCAGAGTTTGTGTAGGTGAATATAAAACAGAGTACCAAAAGATAAAAAGCAAATTAAGATGCTGTTTTAATCTCTTGTAGTACTGTATGGATGGACACATGGTTAACCCATACAGGGGGTAAATATAGAAATCTAGAGTCATGTTCTTTGCCACTAGTAGATTCCACAGGAAATCTAGAAGGTGGTTTTTTGAAGAAATGAGAGTAATGACACTAAGTGAAGCAGTAAGAAATAAAGATATAAAAACAGGTAATGGTAATAAAGCTTTAAAAATGAAATAATAGGCTAACCTCAGGTGATATGAGAGAGAAGTTATATTCCTACTTGACACACACACACAAAAACTAACTATAACCTGCAATTCCAGGGGCCATCTTTTTGATGTTATGTTTCTGTTCCTTTGGAAATTGTTAGCTTTTGGATAGAACTATAATCTCCCAATGAGCCGCTGTTGACTCATACTCCTTCAACCATATGGTTCATGCGCCGTGGCGGCTACGGTGTCCTGTCCGTGTCTCTCACCATTTGCCGTATCATACAGTGAAGCATCTGTTTATGTGCTCCTTTCAGGCTGAGACCATGTCTCACTCGTCTTTTTCCCTCTAGTGCCTCCTGAGCCCAGTTCATGGCGCACAGTGATTACTTGATTAATGCTGAAATGAACAGTTAATGATTGCTTTCACATATAAGGCTCATCGTTTTAGGATATGGAGGCACAGCAGGTTAGTGAAGCAGAATCAGCAAGAGAACAGTTACAAGATCTGCAAGACCAAATAGCTGGGCAGAAAGCATCTAAACAGGAACTGGAGGCAGAATTGGAGCGACAGAAGCAGGTAAAGATTTTATTTATTTATTTATTTTTAAATATTTTATTTACTTGAGAGAGAGAAAGAGAGAGCGATCATGCACACGAGTGGGAGAGCATGAGCGGGGAGAGGGGCAGAGGGGCAGAGGGGCAGAGGGAGAGGGAGAAGCAGACTCCCCACTGAGCAGGGAACCCGATGTGGGGCTCAGTCTCAGGACTCTGGGACCATGACCAGACGCTTAACCAACTGAGCCACCCAGGCACCTTGTGGGTAAAAATTTTAGTTGGATGATTACCAAGGAAGATGCTTTGCTGGCAGTCCTATGAGGAGACTCTCCAGTGAAGCAACTTACTGAAATTCTTACAGAATGGGTGTGGAGTGGTGATGATAAATGGGACCTTCTAGTTCCCTCCTGTCTTGTTACTACCTACCCCCCTCACTGTTTATTTCACAGGTTAAAAATAGAGCCACAGGATGGCTATGAGACTTGCCTAACCTCACACAGTTAACTAGAGAATAGAATAGAACCCGGATGCCTGTCCCAGAGTTCTTTCTACTATCTTGTCTGTGTTTTATTATATCTCTTTGTCACAGTGTGTATGTATGGAAAACTTAAAAACATCCGCTGATTTTCACATTTTATTACATTTGTACTTTCTAGGGACAACAGTAATATTTTTTAATAGAAATATTAAATACAACATTAGTGCTGTAATTAGACTGCTCTTTCTGTTTGAGGAGAAATATTTATAGACTGTTCTTACAAATCATGTTTAAAATTACATTTTTTTGTTCAGTTAGCAGTTGTCTGCTCCCCAAACCAAATTAGTTTACCTTAGTATACTTACATAATAGTTTTCTTATTAAAACAGTTAACCATGCTTACATCCACATTCTCAGAACAAGATGCTGTATCTTATGTTAATAACATCTGTAACTTATTGAATAATGACACTGTTATAGGCACTTAGTATACATGATCTTATTTTATCCTCACAATAAAATCTGTATTCTCTTCATTTTGCAGAAAACTATTTATAATGATCAGTGCATCACTTAATGACATTTTTAGCTTTGTGTATTTATATTCTTAAGATCTTTTTTATTAGGATTTATCATTTCTGAAACTGGTCTGTTATCAGAAATGTTTGTTTTTAGTACGAAGGTACGACTTACATCTGTTTCCTGAGTGGTAGGAAAAACGATTGAGTAGCCACCTGCAGAATACATCATAAGCTGTCTTAGATAATTTAGTTATAAAATTGGCTGTCCTTCCAGAAATTGCATTTTAATTTATTCCAGGAGCTATTATATATTGAAAGGCAAAAATTTGATGTTCTTGATAGTGAGATAATTTTCATTTTATTATGGCAGATAGACTTCCCACATCCGTTGCCAGTGCCTGTTTTTAAAATGAGTCCAGTAGAGGCGAGTGCAGCTGAATGTAGCTCTAGGCTATTTATTTAGTCATCAGATGTTCTAGGTGCAAGTGCTTAGTCTTGGGATTAAATAGTCCTGTAGTGCTCTTTATTAATTTAAATAATTTCAACCTTAAATTTTGTGCTAGCCTGGAGATTTAAAAGAAATCATGCGGACCTTTTTGTAAATTGCGGTTCTCCTACCCTAATTACTGCCTCATTTTCTCTGTTCTCACTTATCTCAGTTTTTTTCATCTGTGAAGTGAGCAGGTTGAACTAAATGTTCTAAAGTAGTCTAGCAGTTTGATCCTGTCTTCTGTTTACTTCTTCATACAGCTCCCTTTACTTACTTTATCTGCACAGTTAAGCATAATGTTTTTTTTTTTTTTAAGATTTTATTTATTTGACAGAGAGAGACACAGTGAGAGAGGGAACACAAGCAGGGGGAGTGGGAGAGGGAGAAGCAGGCT